GAAAACCGAATACCTAACAACAGAAAACAAGGATATGAGAAAGATATGAGAAGACAAGTAAATGGAACAGATAAATTCAAGTATTTAGGAACCATAATATCGAACCAGGGATTAACAGAAGAAGATATAATCAACAGACTAAGACAAACAAGAAACTGTATAAGACAACTAAATTCAGTGTTGTGGGATAAGAACATTACGATAAAGACAAAAAAGAGAATATATAATACCCTGACAAGAAGTATCCTGACATATGGGCCCGAAAACTGGACAATAAACAAGAGAAATAGAGGTAGAATAAGAGCAGTAGAAATGGAGTTCCTGAGGAGAAGCTGTAGACTTACAAAAAGAGACAGAATTGAATACGCAGAGATTAAGCGGAGAATGGGAGTGCAATCAGATATAATCGACTATATAGGGGAGAAGAGACTATCCTGGTACGGCCACGTCAGAAGAGTGGACAGAGGACGCTGGATAAACAAAATTACAGAATGGAGCCCGATCGGAAGAAGAAAGAGAGGAAGACCCCAAAGGTCATTAGAGACGAAATCGACAAGGCTATGGAGAAAAGAACCCTGCGAGATGGAGACTGGAATGACAGGGAAAATTGGAAGACAGTGAGCGAAGGAAGACAGTGAAAACTGTGGAAATCCTTAGTAGTAGTAGTAGTAAATAACTTCAATATTCCACAGCATAGACTAAGATCTTTTGAACTTCTCATATAAATTTTCATGCTACCAATTATGCCTGCTATAATCCATTTAATATGGCCTTAAGATTTTTTTATAGTCACTGTGATATAGATCCTTTTAATTTAAGTTTAAATCAATTGAAAACCATGATTTATAGTAAACCCTAGAAATATTTCTAAGTATTGTATTTTAGAGTGTTTAGAAAGTCTTTCTAAGATAAATTAGATTAAAAAATATAATGGTAATATAATGCTGTAATGGGGTGATCCCGTCTATTTAATAAATAAATATTCAACTGAACTGCAATGTAACATGTACACATTTAGGTCGAATAATGGAGGGATATAACTCCACCCAAAACTCTGCACTTACTGTTAATTTTCAAAATATAAAATTTTTTTCTACTTCACAATTAGGAATAATCACTTTCTGCGCATTGATGTCATTTTTAACAACAATTAACACACCTCCACCTCTAGTTTTTCCGGTACAAACAGGATTGCGGTCATTTCTAAACACATTATAACCAGTAAGTCCTAATTCCGCATCGCTATAATCACAAGTTAACCAAGTTTCCGCAATAATGATTATTTGATAATTACATTGAGGTATGGCAATTTCCAGAGATCTTAGTTTATTTCTCAACCCACCAACATTTTGATAATAAATTAATAAAGGAGGCGAGCTTATATGTTTCATTGCTTCTAGTTTTTTGTGCAGAGTTATCTTTTTTGTAGATTTCAGGTATGTCTTTAACATATCTTTTAAATATATTTTTCTCACCTTGTTTTTGGCGTTTTTTAAGGTTCTCTTTAACTTTATTGAGTTTGTTAAGTTGCTGGGGAGTGAGATCAGAATTTATAGATATTTTTTTACTTTAGCAACCTGAATCTTATTTTTTTAATATTCGTTACATCAAAAGAATTTGTTAATACAATTTTTAGGGACCAAGCACCATTTTTGTTTTGCTTACCAAATCTAACAGCTTTGACAACTTTAATATACCTACTCTTGAGTAATATAATGGAAAATTGAGGTTACAGTAGCTAAATCATCTGAATTATTATATTGTTCATTTGTAATAACTTTTTGTTTGTTATTCAATTTTAATTAAGCGTATCCCATTTTATATATCTTTTTTTTTTCTAAAACTTTGTCTTTTGACGTCAAATCTGTAAAAAGACAATTTTTAAGTTATGAGCAGAATAATGAGTTTGGCGCTTTGATTGTTTATTTAAAAATATTTTCACTAAAAAATGTATGAATAACTAGATGAGTCTTTTTGTTTTGTAAAAACAACATATTAAAAACAGATAATATCTGTTTTTTAATATGTTGTTTTTACTTTTGTCCGCTCCACTGTAGTCTAGGGCGTCCTCTTTTCCTCCTTCTATTTGATTTCCGTATCGAAGTTCCCAGCGGTATTCTTATTTTATCGATCCTTCATATATGTCCATTCCAGAGTGAGATTCGTTTTTCTGTTTCGCCATTTAGTGTATCCTTCACATTAAGTAGCTCTCTAATTCGTTAATTTCCCACTTTGTTCATTAGCATTTATCTACAGCTTCTTTTCCAAAATATAATTACCATTATATGTATTTGGTTTTTTATTCTTTTATTTATCACTCACGTTTTAGAGCCATATAATGAACACCTTTTCAGTATTGTCTTAAAGATTTGGTGTTTAGTTTTGCTTGTGAGACAATACAGAGGATGCGGTGTACATAATCAACTAGAGGAAGCAATATTTCAAACCAGTATAGCATTATCTGGCCTTTTAGTCCCACTGCTAGATGGATGATTTCTATCGTTTTCTGTTCTTAGCTGTCAACTTCCAATCTATGATTACCATCTCTCTGACATCTTTCATTACTACATTTCTCCGTTTCTTACTCGGTGTTCCTCTCTTTTTTTTTGTCCGCAGGTACTCTCCAACGAATATTCTTGACTTTTAACAATTGTTTTTAACTTTGTTTGTTTAACAATTAATAAAATGTTAAATCAAAAACTACACAAGAAAGCCCTGAAATTAGTATTTCCACCACCAAAAAAAAACTCAGTACCTTCTGTTCGATTACATATACAGGCAAAATTACAACAAAAGTAGCCAAATACATAAAAAAGAAAGGAATAACACCAGCTTTCCGATCAAATAACAACCTAGGCAAATATATCAAAAACAACAAGAGCCAAAATAAAAACACTTACACAGTGTTGTGTACAAACTTAAATGTGGCGACTGCCCAAAAACTTACATCGGTCAAACTGGTAGAAACTTTAACAAACGAATAGCAGAACATAAAAGGGCTTTCAATAATAGAAAAACAGATTCTACATACGCACTTCACCTTCTATATCACAATCATTCTTTTAACGACGAATTTAAAATTCTTCACAGTCAAAATAAAGGCCTTAAGGTATCATTGTTAGAATCTATGAAAATCAACAAATTAAAAAACACAGATATAATTCTGAATAACCAACTCGAGATAAACAGTTCTCCCCTCCTCAACCTATTTCATTAGAGACTATAAAGTGTAAACGCATGCCAAAAATAGATCACTTGAGAAAGGCAATCAGCCGAAACCGCTGTAGTGATAAGATTTAAAATAAATTTTGTGAAAGTTTGAAAACAAAGTTTTCAGTATTTTATTGTTACATAAAATGAATTTTCATCAAGTAACGGTCGAATCCATCAATTATTTTGTTCATTACCACATTGCTCAAGATTACCTTACCTGGATTTATTAATAATAACTTTAAGTGTCATTTTTGAGCTTTTTCATATCATTATTTTTGCTATACGTGTCAGTTCTTTTCTTGCAATGGGAACCACATAATCTGCGTACGTTAATCATTGGTGTTCTTTGTAGAAAATAGTGCCGGACCTATTTATTCCACTAACCCTTACATTTTTTTCTAGAACTATATTGAATAGCAAGATAGACATTGGGGTCTCGTTGGCAAACACCTTTTCTCACTTCGAATTCTTCTGACACTGTACCATTGCATTTCACAGCAGAAATGGTTTTCTAATTGTCATTTTTACCAATCTTTCGATTTTTTCTGGCACTTGGAATACTTTTCTTTTTGTGTTTCTATTAATTTATTTCCGTGTATTGTATCGTAGGCGGCTTTGTAATTAATGAAAAGTGTTTGTGCTAAAACGTTGTATTCATAACAATTGGTCAGGATTATTTTTACATAAAAATTTGATCGGTTGTTTATCTTCTTACCTTGCAAAATGGACCGCAGGAGTGTGACGTCACGACTGTCACATTGTCATTATTACTTTCCAAACAAAAGTTGAAATGTCCAATCTCAATACTTTTTAATTTCTACAAAGTTAACATTTTGCTTCCTCTGCTGTTTTTCTTGCAAGCATAGTGTTTTTTACGATAATACCATCATAATTCAGAGTTCTATTTCTATGAAATATAGTTTAAAAGTTTAAATTAAAGAAATTCTAACCTTACTTTATTGATACATGCATTTTTATTGCTATTAGCATAAAACAATGTGCTTTATTATTTACACAACCTTGTAAAATTATTGTAGTAATTATTAGAATACTTAAATATTGCAAAAAGCGGAAAGATTCTATAAAATAAATGAAAAAATAATTAAAAATACAAATTATCCACACTAAACAATGGTCACAATTTGATTTTTTGTCTATAAGTTTTTTCTCTTATATTTTATATAAACGAATGAAATGAATGAATCTTATAATCATTACCTATATCTTAGAAGCTTCAGATACCTGCGAAAAATTTTGCCGTGAAATGTTGCTAGACTGGGCTATAGGTAATACGGAATGCAAATTGCAAATAACGATGTAGCTGAAATGTTTTTACTTGGTTAAAAAATAACTTTAACGATTCAGAACTTTATCTGATTATTTTATTTGTAGATTTGGTCGGTTTAATTAAAACTTATAATAATAACGATAGTAACGGTAGTTATAATAATAACGAGGAGGGAGGTTGCTACTTATTGCAGCAACTTATTGCACTTACTTTCAACGTGGAAATCGAAATGTCAAAATAATCATGTTTTCAACTGATATCGTGCTTAATTTCTGCATTAAAAACAATTAAATAATACTAAAATATTACAGCAGCTTCAGAACAATATTAATTATTTTGTCCCAATTACCAAAGCTTTAAATTAAATTTAAAGCAAATTTATATTTTTTGTTAATTAAAAAATAATCTATTACGTCTATTTGAACTAATTTTCCATCTTTTTTATAATGAATTCAACCTGAATCTTGGTAACATGCTTATATTGATCAATATTTTCCAGTGCCGACGAGGGCTTCGATGGAACTTACCCTACAAATGTGGTTGTGCGTAACAATGGCAGTTGTTTGTACGTTCCACCCGGTATATTTAAAAGCACATGCAAAATTGATATAACTTGGTTTCCGTTTGACGATCAGCGCTGCGAGATGAAGTTTGGAAGCTGGACGTACGATGGATTACAGGTAAGTAATTTACAGTATTGCATTAGTATATATCGAGATATGTGCATTACTCTGATCGCTTTAATTAAGAGGAATATAGTTGTTTATACAAGGATCATTTGTTAATTGCTACCAAAATAGAACTAACATACATGAACTGAGGGAAGAGTAATTACAGTTTGATTGAACCGGAGTGATGAAAAGGTCATAATAAGATATCTATTAATAGATATGTTAATACTATAAACTGAAAACCATTAATTTTCTTCTTTTTTCTTAAATCTTCTAAACTTTGGGACATAAAATATAATTTTATGCTTTAAATGACTAAGAAAGCTCCTTTTACCTTCAGTTTGTTCTAATTCTACAGATAAGTAATTACTTATTTATGAAAATCTGGGATTTCAAGACAAAAATAAAGCAAACTTGTAATGGTAATTTAAAACGGGTTGCTTTTGTGGATAATGGACCAAAACTGTAAAACTCTTTTGCCAATAAAAGGCTGTGGTATTATTGATATTAAATAGTTTGCTGTATTTAATTTCATATTGATCATTAATCAGCTGCATTGTAATGATATCAGAAATCTTGTTAAAAGATGACTGAGATTGTGTCTGTTTAGTTTTTAATTTGGTAGTGGCCTCAAAAGTATCATCGCAAGATTGTTAGGATGGTTTTCAAACCTGAGAGCATATTTTTGGGAGCAATTTGTAATAGCTTCTTTAGCAGTCTTCACTTGATTAGGTACATACCATGACCTGATTGAGTACATACTATGGTGCATTTGTAAGACTTTTAATTGAAATCTTTCTAAGATATCTACATTAGACCTGGACGCTGATCCCCACAGCTGGATCCCATAACACCATACTAGTTTTATGACTGATCTATACACTAATATCTTGTTATATAGAGATAGCTGTAATCTGTTACCTTAGAATCAGTAAATGCTACTAAGGTTAAGGCCCCAATGTTTTCTTTTCATGAATATATGCTTTTTACATGTTATCCGCCTGTCGAGATGCATGCCCAGGTATTTTGACATGTTTTTTCTGTTAGTAAATGTTGTGATCTTCTGTATATCCAATTGATTTTCTTATTGCATCCATCTTGACTACTTTGATTTTTTTGTTTTTCTTTGTTAGTCTCCAAGTATCGGCACCATGTAATAGACTACTGTTGATCGTAACCCCATAGATGTTAATTTTGCTTTATTTTTAACATTAGTCCTTTATAAACTATAATTACCGAATATATGAAAGTTTAAGCTTTCCTAAAGTGCAAATAGATAGTTATTCCGTCGTTGCAATAGTTTAGAGAACAATATCCAAATTAGAGTAAAGCTCTCCAGCACTGTCTTAATAGTGTATCTTATAAATGTCACTTTCGACTAACTTTATTGTCTCTTATGAAGCTTTTGGAAACTATACAATAGTTTAAATGCATGAAAGTTATATAAAGTGGCTTAGGTCAGATTATTTCATCCTGAAATGTACAAATTGTAAGCCAACGAGCTTGCAATGTGGATTGCAGTTGAACTAAACTGCATTTAATTTAGTATGTGTTACGCAATATACTTAAATCCTTAATCAGTAAGGTGAAAAATAATAAATAGTTAGGTACAGTCTGTCAGACTTATATATTTAGAAAATCATAAAAACCAATTTATACAACAATTTTTTTTATATTTATTTATTAACGGGAAATTTTTTTACAGTTGCCGTAAACCGGAGTAACTTTGCCCCTGCCAGGGTAACTTTGCTCCATTACTAAAAAAAGTTTCATTTTAATTTATCTATGAATTAAAAACCGTCTTCACAAAACCCGCGTCGCCGTTTTACTGGTTGCCTATTTACATAGTCTCCCCACGTGCAACATCGACTTGCTCTTCCATTTACATGCCTACAGCAAGTTGAGATGGTAGTGGTGCAAAAAGTTCGGTAGAAACTACGTAAAAAATTTGGTGTGTGTGTGTGTGTAGAAAGTTGTGCTATTATCTTACAAGTAAGTATATGTGTATGCGTTAAGTGTATACTGTTTATCAACTTTTTTACTCAATTGTGACTTATAAATGAACAAATGAAAAACTTTTCTTTTTCTAACCTCATTTTACAAATTATCAGGTGGTTACGAGTAACTTTGCTCCAAAAAAATGGCGCAAAGTTACCCCAAAATATTTATTATGTTTAATATATGTTTTTGTTACAGATATGCCTAGAACATCTAAAAGAGTACTAGGATCACGGCGCTATGCTGACTATACACAAAAAACCCTACACGAGTGTTTAAATCAAATAAGAATCTCACACAGAAGGGCAGAAGAAAAATATAAGATTCCAAGAAGGACCATTTTAAATAAACTGAAAGGGAAAAATTTCAAACCGCCAGGGAGGCAAAACGTATTTACTTCCGATGAAGAAAACCAATTTGTTAATTTCCTGATTTATATGGGAGAGTATGGGTTCCCTATTAACGCAAGGGAACTGAGAAACATTATCAAAAATTATTTAAACGTTGTGGAAGAGATGTCAAAATTTTCAAGGATAACTTCCCTGGAGAGGATTGAATTAAAAAATTTATGGTCAGACATCCTGACATTTCCCCACGTTTTGCAGAAAACATCAAACGTGTACGAGCAGGAGTTGATGAAACCATATTGAGAAGCTTTTTCAAAAATCTAGCAGTCGAGTTAGACTCCAACAAATATATGGAATTGTGATGCAACTAATCTCACTAATGATCCCGGCAAAATGAAAGTCATTGTCAAAAGAGGTTGCAATTATCCAGAACTAATTCGAAACGCTTCAAACACTTCTGTGTTCATTATGTTCTGTGGAAACGGCGAAGGTGAACTTTTACCTCCCTATGTTGTTTACCGGGCTGCTAAAATGTGGACTACTTGGGCTAAGAATGGGCCAAAAGGATGCCGTTACAACGCTTGAAGTTCTGGATAGTTCGATACCAATATTTTTGCAGACTGGCTTGAATTCCAGTTGGTACCTAGGTTTAGGAAGCTGAATGGTAAAAAGGGATTATTATGCGACAACCTCTCTTCACATATTACAGTACATGCACTTCAACTATGTCGTGAAAACGACATTCATTTAATTTGTCTGCCTCCAAACAGTACACATTTGCCGCAACCTCTACACGAGGCGTTCTTTCGGCCTCTAAAAATAGCCTGGCGAACAATTTGGTCAGATTGGAAAAGTACTGAAGATGGCATCCGCAACACTAATATACAAAAGCAACACTTCCCTCCATTGTTGTCAAAGGTTATGGACTTGCTTGGTCCACAAATCAAACCTAACTTAGAGGCAGGGTTTCGAAAATGCGGAATATTTGCCCTGAATTTTGAGAAAGTACTCAGGCGAGTACCACGAAAATGCGACCCATCTGTTGTGCAATCTGAGTTTTTAAAAGCCCTAGAAGCTAAAAGATCCGATTTGACAAAAACTGTTAACCACCGCAGAAAAAAAAATTAATGTTCCAGCTGGAAAAAGTGTTTGTGCAGTCAACGATACAGATATGGAAGAACCTACAACCTCTGGCATGAATACCAATAAGCAACCAATAACTCCTGACGAATCGTCCAGTGAGGAATCAAATATTGTTCGCTTTAGAGCTAAAGAGATGGTATTTGATGATAATTCATCGGACGATGTAGATTTTGAAGAGCTTGCCAGGGAGAACAAAGTTGAAAATGATTTTGTAAATTTTTTAGAAGACAAAGAAAACAAACATAATAATTTTGAAAGTGTTGTTTGAGAAGTGGGTCGTTTTGTAGTGTTTTCTTACGAAAGCCACCTATACTCCGGCCGCATTATGACTTTTGATGATAAAACAGCAACCATTAGCGCAATGGAAAAGTCTCTCAAACTGTGGAAGTGGCCTTCAAAAAAGGATGTACTGGCTTACCTATGGACTAATATACTAGGCTGTATTAATACTCCTAAAAAACTTTCTAAAAGGGGAACGTTTTCAATTTCTGAATTAAGTTCACGTTATAATTAATACTTATTAATGATTATTATTTTCAAATAAATAACACTGCCATTTTTTTAGTTTTTTTGCACGAATAATATTTTTGGAGCAAGGTTAATATAAGCAACCCATTAACGTTGCTCCAACTATATGTTACTATACAAAATTTCATGCTTTTATGAGGTGGAGCAAAGTTACCCCACACTATAGGTAACTTAAGACACATCACGTCTTATAAATAGGAGTAATAAAGCTGTCCTTCCAAAGTGATTTAAAAACTTGCAATTTTAATGAAAGGTTAAATAAAAGATAACTGGGAACATTATCTGGACTACAGTTTAATTTATCTCATTGTTTTTTTTATGACATTTTCTCCATTTCTGTTTCAGGCATCGTGAATGCCTATCATTGTCACTATCACTCTCAAGTCACTATCATTCTTGAAAAAAACTAAAATGTTTTCAAATAAACCAATATCGCCTCTAATTAACAATAATTAATTTCTTAATAGTTTCCAATAGTATTCCACACTGCAGGATAACCTCAAACAACAATAATATCAGATGATGTAGACAAGATGCAAGTTTGCCAACGTGCTACTTTAGTGCAGAAAAGTACCTCAGTCACTGACTTGAGTCCTTATCTGTAGTAAACTAAAAGTACGCCATACGATTTCTCTATTATAATAAAATAAATCGGGTCCCTTTCTACTACAAATGATGTATCTACCATCATAGTGAATGAATCCACTCTTAACACAAAATCACAAAAAACTGACTCAGGTTCCTTTCTGAAATATTGTTATGATTCGAAAACAGATCGAAAAGAAAATAAATTTTTATTTTAAAAATACCATTAGATGATAAATATTCAAGACCCTGTATAGGTAAAAAATTTATAAATATGTTTTATTTGTAATAAGTTTTTTCGGAGAACATTGGTTTAAAACAGTGAATAGTTTCTAATAACATTTGTATAGAAAAACAATTCGGGATTATTTAGAAAGTAAGAAAGTATTGTTTAAAATTTTAAAAATA